TTTTTAGACTCTTTTCGCTGTTCGTTTGCAGGGTGATCATGAATTGTGAACATTTTGCAAACGCACGCGTCAAAGGGAGAGTTTTCTTCTTTTTTTCTTTTTTTCCAAAAACGAACCGAGTAGACTTTTGCGCGTGAAAGTAGGTTGGTTGACAACGATCTCCACACGCAGCAACCTGCACGTGATGAGATCCGGACAATTATTGTTACTTGTTACATAGTTGCTAATTAAATCGCTGTGTAGTGCAATTATGAATTGCGTAACAAATAACGCGAGCTAATTGGCTGCAAGTTTCAGATTTAGTTCTTTTATAATTAGCAGATTCGTTAGATTTCTCGCGAGCTTCTGCGATTCTCATTATACATATTAATGACGAAGGCGATTATATAACGGGGTGACGTTCGTTAAATCTGGAATATTCTTTCTCTTGCAACCTGTATACCAGAAGAGTGAACAGTCTTTCTTGAATATCATTGAAAATAGAACATGTTCCCAACAAATGTTCGTTGTGCATTTAGTTTTTTCAAAATTAATTTTAGAAAAGTGGAGAAACAGAGAACGACTTTTCTAATTTTTCCAATTCTTTTATCTGAAATTGATCTCACAAAACTGAACGAGCAACGAAAACTCTCTGCAAAAGTGGTATACACCGTTAAATTCACCATTGAAAGAACGCTAATCTCACCAGTTTACACGAAAATGGTATTTTCGATAATTTCCAATACCTTCGACAGAATATGTTCCGCAGCCTCAACGACGAGGGTAGTTTTCACCCCTTCAACATCGACGATTACCGATAAAAAAAAAAAGATTTCTTTGAAAGCTACATTTATACCAAGTTCCATCAAAGTCGATGATTCACAATTCGGCATCACATCCTGTCAGATCCAAAATTTCACAATTTAAAGGACATTCGTGAATCTACTCATCGCAGAGATATTCAGCGAATCTCAATCATGAATTTCGCGGCTCGTTCAGCGAATCATTTGTTACTTCGTAATTGCGTACAAAAGCGCTAAGACATACGTACGTACGAACGTGTGTAATATCAGCAAGTCTAGTCTATAGCTGAGAATCATTATCGCAGCCAGTCTGCGTGCACGTGAGCGTAGGATAGAGCCCTACAGGTCTGCACGTCAGACTGGGCGGGATGGGAGGACACCGTTGAAGGTGTTGTTTGCCAGTAAGAAGAGCGTGAATTTCAGCGAGCCTGAGCGGCAGGAAGCTTAACTTAACCGTCGGAATGGCAGCAGCAACAGTCGAGAAGTCGTATGTAAATCATGCCGAAGCGTTGAGCGCGGTCTATAATTTCCAAGACAATAACGTTGGAGGAGTTTCTTCGGCTAATAAGAAGCTGCTCATTGCGACGTCTGACTAGGAAGCTGTATATATCCGTCACGCGCATTACGGAATGAGGAATTGCACGAAGATTGAGATCGAGCACCTTCGCTTCGCGGGATTACAGGCCCTCCGGAATTTCTCTGATATATCATCCCTTTGATGGATAAACGTAGACGCCTACTTTAGCTAGATTGTGTTCTACCGCTTGAACCGGCTCCGCTTGAATTCCTTCACCCGCGAAAAGCGTTCGAAAATAATCCCACGGGAGAAAGGGGAGGGGGCGAATCGAATATCAATTGACGTTGACGTACCGTATCAGTTGGAGAGAGATTTAATTAACCTTTCATCTGCAATTCGCAAAACCATCGAATGTAGAAAATTTCTCTTTCTCACTCGTGTTTGACGTCTATTTCAGGTAGATTCTGTTTTAAATTCGAATGGTATTCGCTGAATTTTGGAAAAACGTTGAAATCGTAGAAGTGGTGGTATAATAAAATTTGTTTGAGAAGAAGAATAGAACCGCAGCTCGTCGTATAGGATAAAAAACAGATTCTCCCGTCTATTTCGAGTATCATTCTCGTCCATGCAGATAGACTCAACCAGCGGAAAATCCGGCCAAGTAACCGGAGTTTATACTAACAGAATTCTACTGTACAATGTAATGGCTTTCAACTCCTTGCAGAGTTCGGATGTTCGCAGAACTCTCAAGTACGGAGGCTCTCGGGTGCCATGAAGTTTCAAAAAGGAGACAAAACAGAGAACCACGATGCTCGCTACGTATCGCTGCGAACTCGTAGAAATCAGAATCAGTGTGCGATTCTCATGGAAATACGTCGGGGGGGCCACGATCTAATTTAATCTACCTCGGCTAACTCAGTTGATAATTTTATTGAGATTTTAGAAATACTTTCGAGGAACGAGACATCACACTTTTCAGTTGAACGATCCAAGTTCTTGGATTCTATCATGAGCCTCGCGACTAAGCTCTCGAGCCTCTGAGACGTCGAGTGGAAATTTATTATTAAGCTAGTTGGCGTTTCTTTTCAGTTTCATTTATCAGTCTCAATAACTGGCTACAAGTTTCACAATCCTCGAAGAGAGATACACAATCGCATCGACGGGAATACATTCGAAAGTAGTAAGTGTAAACGATTGTGTAAGTCGCCCGATAATCGCCTTACCAACTTCGAAACGGTAATTAATTCCCAAAGAACTCCCGGCGTAACGAGTTTCTTACATAACGGCCGGCCCGTTTTAATTATACATCATCGTCAGGAAGCTTCCCCCCCCCCCCCCCCCCCCCTCTTCTCCATCGTCTCCTAAGATTTCGCAAATCCGTTGGAATACATTAAAGCGAAACAATCCCGCCGCTCTTCCAGACGACGAACCGACGAAATTGAAATTGAAAGCGGGCCGGAAAACAGCTCCGAGCGAGTATCACGGTTATCATAATCGTCGTTCGAGTTCGTTTTCGGAATGACACGAACCTTCTCCCCCTTCCCCCTCCTCTCTCTCCTTCCTCTGAAACTTCATCACAACTTCGTCTGAATCTCTCGTTCCAACTTGTCCTCCTTATCTTTCCCTCGATTTCCTCTTTTTCTCTCTTTTGTAAAGTCAAACCAGTCTGTCGTACCGAGTTCATAAAGCGAGTGTTCTCTTCGAGTCGAGACGAGAGTTCACCACGGTTAATTCACCGTTAAGTTTCGCGAAATATAATCGCCGTGCGAGCTGTATCGAGGAAGAACGATCGTCGATAGCCAGCCTTCTCGAAGCACGAAGCACGGTAACTCATCCGCACGCTCTCGCGCGAATATTAAATAGACGCAACGTTTCCAACGCTGGGAAATGAATCCTTTATTCCGCGCGTACCTTACGTTCTTGAATTCCGCCAGCCGCTTATCCGAGATGTAAGTTCTCGAATAGTTGTAGAAACCTAACGGCGGGCACGCGGCGCGTCTTTGTGCGGGAACACAGCTTGGAATTTCATCAACACTGTAACGAGAGCTGGCCATCGTGATTATATATTGGGAATATTTGGGGCCGATCTGAAAGTCTGTAATGGATAGAAGCTAGGTATTCGAGTCTATGTCTAAGAAATTTCGAATATTCGAGAAATTTAAGACGAAAATACGAAACACATCGACCGAGAAAATTTGGAATTATCGTCGATACATCGTCGACTGCGAAGGAAATGTAAATTTCTGTGAAAAGATTTTTCTTTATTTTCATTTTTACGCAAAAATACGTGAAACATCCAGAGATTCCATTTCTTTAGTGTGCAGTCACGAAAACACATAAAATTGCGTCCTTGACACTTAACTTGTTCCAGGTTTTTGTTTCCAACTAATTTCTTTTCCAACTTCTGTACGCATTTTCTAAATTTCGTCAATATAATCGAGATAGTTGCGCCTCGTTGCAACGTTAACGATTAACTGGAGAATGTTTTATGCAACTCGCCCATTCCCATGGCCACTCATACGCAGATTCGCGGGACGAGTCGGTTAAATTACACGTAGCTTGTCGAGATATACGCGGTAACTGAATTTTCGATGAATTTTCTGAAAAATTCTGGCCACCAGGAAAGAGATTAACGAGCCGGGCTCCCTCATCCTTCGCCGTTTTTCGGCGAAAAGCGTTCATCAACGCTTGAAATTAAAATTAAATTCAACCTTGCTCGGCCATGCGAACGCACGAAATAGAAAAATTTCAATTAGAGACGTTTAATGAAATTAGAAGCACGATCCATTATTAAGATATTATAAGTCTTTCTCTCTCTCTCTGACTTATGAAGCTTTCAATTACTTCCCAATTACCTTTCGAAGACCGATTTAACCTATTTAAATTTTCGTTAAACAAGTAGATAATTTCCAATTCTTGAGATGCAAATGACTTGCTTTCATAATTTTTCATTCGTCGCGAGGAGATAAATGTAAAAGTGTGATTTCACCGTGGGTCAGTGTTAATAGTGTCCCCGTGTTGCATAAAACACACCGCCTGTTAAAGATTTAGTGTCTTGTATGAATCGTACCTCGAACATTACGTGCGTTGCGTTTACTCTGCCGCGTGACGGGATTGTTTTAACTCATAAATAAACTGCGGATGTTTATGCATTTATGGAAGACACGCATAATGCATACCGTGTCCAATTTAATGAATGAATATCTCTGCTGTAAATATGCTTTCTCCGTCAATAATTATATGCCAGAATAATTCGCTGCTAATACTAGGGAAGCTATATCAAGTAAATACGCGCGTTGGCAAAAATTTTCATACCTCCCTTTAATTATCATGCGCTTTGAATAACTCGAAAAATTGAAACGTTCAATCTAAAGAAAAAAAAAAAAATTTGCCCCGCGGTAACCGGGGCAAACTATAATATATATAATATATAGTTATTAATAAATATAGTAATAACTATTTTTCAAAATTTAATGTACTATAATATATTACTATATTACAGTACATCGTTACATTTTGGGAAGTATAATTCTTTTTCTTCTCTAACGTGTTAAATCAAATCTGGTTATCAGTATGAAAACTGTCCACTGTCCAAGAGTCAATTGCACGACATTTACGATGACACGAGTTTTCCGAAATGTCCGTAATTTACTTGTAGTAGTAAAAAAAGAAAAAAGTAAAAATCCAACAGTTCTCGATACCTCGTAAACTGCACCGAGAGGCATGACCAGACAGGCGACCATGAGATCAGCGACGGCCAAACTGACGATCAGATAATTCGCCACCGACTGTAGATTCTTCTCGAGCAAGATCGCCGCAATCACGAACAGGTTCCCTGAAACAGAGGAAGATTGCTGTTAGAAAGCGAATATGGCTCCTCGCGGTAACCGACGATTTAAGCAGCCTGGATGATCATTCGTCGGGAAACTGTAAACCGGAAACAGGCTTGTCGGAACGGAATTTGATAGGCATTTCACAGTCCGTTTCATCAGCGTGATGAAATAGACAAGGTTGCCTATCCACGCGATTTACCGGCGCGCGCTTTCAGGTGGCTCGTCGCAACTTTTAGGTTCGCAGGCAGCCGCTGTTTTAATCGCTGATCCTGTTAGCTACGCCTCGGTGTCCCCGAGGCTCGCGTAAATAATTCATAAGCTGATTACCGAGGATTCCCGAAAAGCACGAGACCGGACGATCCACCTGCGTTCCATTTCCCCGGCGAAAATTCCGCGTATCACTTTCTTCGGTTGATCATTCCCCACGTGGACGCGTGTCCCTCGGAATTTCAATTTTTCGAGTTTAATTAATATACCCAATATGGGATGGGAATTTCTAAGAATTCGTTATATTGGATATTTTCAAGTACGAAATTGCAGAGAATTGCAACAGTGTGTGATAAGTCACGAGTGTCCTGAACTTTGTCAGAATGTTCCAAGTAGAAAAAAAATAAATAAATAAATAAATTACGACTAAAATATGCGAAGTGTAACTCTTATTTGTGACGATACAATGATACTATATTATACAATGATGCAACGATATTACACGAGATATGACAGAATGAGACACGATGCACGATGCATTATAGTATAACCTTACACTTTTGTCAACGGAATAATTTCAGTGACACAGACCAGAAATCGTCCGCCAATTCGCGATACTCCACGAACAAGAAGATGTACATCCATTGTACTGTGCTTTAGTGACTTAGTGAAAATTTCGTCGAGTCCAAAAGTTAAATATCGAAGCACGTTCGACTGAATTCGCCATCTCTGACTCCTCATACTGCGGAGCGAGCAAAATGCTCGACAATTTTCAGGCTGAATTGCCCCGCAAGTCAACTTCATCAATCTTCGTTATCCTTTGAATTTCTGTTCCGCCGGCGGATAGCGGTTACACTTGAGCTAATTATCCGCAGCCAGTGGCGAAGGTATTGCAGGTATAGCTTTCATTTGTCAGCAAACGTGGGACGTTGAAGCTAGGGCAAGCCGGCTTGTTACATCCCGGCGTAATTAGTCTTTCGACGCTGTCGCCGCTTTGAAGGCTTAGCAAACGTTTTGACAATCGTGTAATCAGTTTATTCGTCCGCCAGGGACTGCACCTTCAAACAAGACAGATGCGCGCGCGCACACACACACACACACACACACACAGAGGCACGTCAGCAGGTAGATTCGCTGAACAACCATTTCACCGAACATGTTCATTTTCTGCCTGTCTATCTGTTCAAACATTTTTCGTTCTTCTCTCTCTCGCGTGCGCGTTTTTTTTTTTTTTTTGCAGAAAAATTAATTTAAAACACGACACGACGCGTGTCGATCTCTGTCCGAGCGAGCATACGACGAGCAATTGACGTAAACACTCGCCGCGGAATAAATTCTGGCGAAACGTGAAACACCCGAGTTCGCAGGTACCTTTCTATTGAAAATTCACCGACGTATCCGTCGTTTGCGAAGAATCGAGAGAGCTCGGAACGTCGTTTCGTGAAACTTTAACATCTCAATCGAAGAGAGACAAGAGTCAAACTTGAATTTCAAATCTTTTCGTTTCACGCGTCGAAAGCTATTGAAATGATTCATCGAGGGCTCGACATTTGTCCGCGATCCGAAAACTGCGTTCAGTTGTCGGCCGACGGGTAGGTAAATTGGTTTTCTACCGCGGTTGAAATTTGTTTGTGACGGTTCATCGGCGTTTACGACTGTCACGAGTCGCGTAACGCGATTTTTTTCTACTCCATTTAGGCGGCCGGCGCTGGCTAATGACGTGGCACCGGCCGCGTTTGACGCAATAATTTTTACACGGTGCCGTGGTTTAAATCTCTTTTTACGATTGTCGATCTCTCTCTCTGCCTTAATGGATGGATATAAAATATACGTTTGCACTGGCTGTCGCTGGAATTGCTGTACAATCGGATCCCGGCGAAATTTAGCTTGAATTTCACTGAGAATCGACGATCAACTTGAATAAGAATCGAGCCTGGTACACGTGTGTTTCAAACATCACTTTCCCCAGAAACGAAGAGTCTGATGAAAAAAATTTGATTCCGAAGAAAGAATTCCATCGATTGGATTTGATATATATATATACATACATTTAAAAAAGTATCATTAGAAAATATTAACTTCACCAAAACACTATTAAAGGATGTCTGATAGTGATTAACATGCCCCTATATGCTTCATTACATTTTCATTTCTCTTTCGGGTAATTTTTCTATATATTTTCATCGAACTCGGACAAACAACAGATAAATAGTCTGACATTTAAATTTCTCGATTTTTTTTCGAAAGCAGAGTATTTTAAAATTAAAATCAAATGAAACACACGACGAAATAATAAATACGAAATCGACGAGATAAGAACAATTCAAACTATCCTGTATTATCCTTTTGGTTTCTTTTAGTTTCGTCACGTAGAATTGCTCTCTAGTCAGTCGTATCACGATTTTATAGTCTGTAACAACGAGAATCGTCGATCTGTCACACGCGTACCGGAAAAGTCTCGTTGAATCCGTGGATCGAATGGAACGCAGTTTCATCGTGCGCGTTCCATTTTTTTTCTTTTTTCTTTTTCTTTTTTCTTTTTCGTTTCCACGTGCATTTTTCTCTATTTCGCTCGTCGACTTGGCGAACTAAATCGTTCGAGCGACTGAGAAATCGTGCCTCGAAGCCATCACGAGCGTTTTACAGCATAAACTCGAGGAAAACGCCGCGTGAAACGTTTAATACGAATAAATGAACGGTGCTTGGCCAGGCGCTTTTCAAATTAACGCTTGCGTTTCTCTTCGTTTACCCCGGGGACGGTGTATTAAAATTATTCTTCGTTTCGGACACGTACGCTTCTCTGCCAGAAGAGATTTTTAGTCGAATTCGAGTTACGAGGCATTGTTTTTTTTTTCTTCCTTCCTTTTTCTTTTCTTCTTTTTCTTTTAGAACTTATGGCGTGGCGTAAGCTCGGTAATAAAGTCGGTAGAAGATGGCGAGCATCCGGGGTTCGGTTCTGCGAGGGTTGCAAGCTCGGTAGCAAATTTATTTAAATCTAGAGATCGCTCGAAGGTCGCGAGATTAAAGTCAAAGTTGTCTCGAAGATTCTGAACCGTGTGATCGGTGAGATCTGTTAAACAAATATTGAAATAATAATTTATTGAGAGTAACTCATAGATTCAGTGCGTTAGCAAGAATATACGTACATGTTCGAAGAGAAAGAAAATAATGTGTGTAACGATTAAAGAAAGAAACGTAATTGGTGTGAAGTTAGGGAATTTCAACGTAAATTTTTGTTAATTCTGTGAACAAGTCTGTGAATCGAAAGAAATTGCACATTTAATTTATTATAAATGATTTCTTTAGATAGATCACAGTCACTTGAAGTAACAAATGATGGATTGGAGGGCTTGAGAAATTTAAAACAATTGGATCTCGAAAGTGACAATTACACTCTCGATTGAAATAAATATTTTACATGGTAATACATTTAATCTGTAATGAAAAGAAAAAGAAATAAAAGTTACAATTAGAAGATTCTCGTTTCTACGAGAGAGCGTGTTTAAAAAGGTTTCTTTTTTTTTTTTTTTTTTTGAAAAAAGGGAGATTTATTTCAACTCTCGCCAGTTGCACGGACGAAAGAATAAACAACTGCAAGCATTAAAATAACATGCGTATTTCAATTTACTCGGAAAAGAATCACGCTCTTTCAACAGGACGATCTCCTCCCTTCGCCATTTCACTCTCAAAAACCACCCAAGTGGTTCAAAGACTTTCGCCTCTTCGCTTACAATCACGAGCTCGTCCTCGATCTTACCGCAGCTTTGTAAATAAACCAGGAAAGCCCTGGAAACACACACTTTCCATCTTTCATCCCCATTATGCGTTCGTATCCGTACTCGACGTAGCCTCTTTCGCGTAACAAGCAATCCAACGTCGTTATCCGCAATCCGGCGTTCGTTAGGCGCATTGAACCACGGTCGTTAATCGCGCGGCGACATTTTTCTTTTTTTTTTTTTTTTATATTACAAATGAATAGACGAGACGACGACGACGACGACGCGTTCCACGCACTGGGAATACTGAAAATTCGCGACGTGAAGGCTGAACGCTGGAGCAGCATACACACGAGTTTAAACGAGATGTTGCTGTTTCTGCTTTCAAGGCGAACTGCACGAACGCAGACGGAATACGTGAAACAGCAAACGGCGGTCGAGCCGGGCCGTTCTTCTTAAATTATTCAATGTTTCCTGCCGCGTGGAATACGCATCGACTTTTCCCAATCGGCTCGTCGCGAAGTCGATCGACTCTCTGGACGATTCGTGGGTGAAACGACCGAGAAATCGCGAGAATCAGAACGACCGAAAGTGGCGAGGGGACGAAGTCGGATGGAGGGATAAGAAAATTGCGAGCGGCGATTGTTCGATGGAAATATGAAGTTGGAGGCACGAGTAAAAAAACAAGGCGGCATGAAATGAATATACACTACCATTGTTTAAGATCGAGTGGACACTCGGGGATAATGAGGACGAAACCCTCGATCGTCGTCGGAAATTCACAGAGCAGCGTATTGCGACAGAAGAAATGGTGAAATGGTGATTGACTGAAATTCGATTCGAGGAAGAACAAGTATCTTTTAATGGAGAGCGGAAAGCGAGATCGAACGGCTATTGATTACCATAAGGGCAATTAATCGCAAACAATACGGCGAGGTATCGAATAGCCAATTCAATATTTATTGGACAATAACGCGCAGCTTATGGCAGCATATAACAGTATATACAACCATGGTTGAACAGTTTAAGCAGTTTAATGGACAATCACTCAAGTACAAAGGTTCGACGTGGCAATCGTA